GCGGAAGCAGCCGAGGAGGTGTTCCGCAAGTACGAGACTGAGCTGGAGATCAACGACTTCCCGCAGCAGGCGCGCTGGAGGGTCACCAGCAAGGTAAACATAACAACATCATTACTCAAAATTAACAACAACAACACTAACATTAACAACAACAACACTAACACTAACATTAACAACAACAACACTAACATTAACAACAACAACACTAACATTAACAACAACAACACTAACATTAACAACAACACTAACATTAACAACAACACTAACATTAACAACAACAACACTAACATTAACAACAACACTAACATTAACAACAACACTAACATTAACAACAACCTTACATTAATAACAACAACTTTAACATTAATGTAGATAAAAAATCGACACAACCAAAAATTATCAAATACAATTTACCTTTACAATCAATATATTTGACATTGGGTGTTTACATTTGTGTAGACCTTTGATTAAAAAAAATTAAGCATTCGACATTATAGTGTCTCTAAATAATTTAGATTAGTTTGATAAATGACGAATATGAAGTAATGAATTCAATTTGTATGAAGTCAAATGCCATACTTAATAGACAGGTATCGTAGTGACGAAACAAACACACATAGCGAATAATTTTGAACTATCGATATTCGGCTTAAATAATTAACAAACTCAACTAAAATTATTATTTTCTTATTCACTAATTTAGAGGACAATTCTAGTATTGATTATAGAGTAGAGAATTTAGGGATGACAGAAATAATAGCGAAATCCAATTCGATTATGTACGGCTGTAGTAGTAACAGACATTTATTTACTCTCATTTTATGTTATGGTTATTATTAATGTGAAAAAACAGTATTTTTTTTTCTTTTATAAGTTATAACTATAAATTTGTCGATTCCAACTTCTATTAGAATAAAAATCGAAAATCGATAAGATTCATGACTGATTTCACAGAATCATCCCTACTAAATTGGAAGTGAATTATCAAACTAATCTAAATTATTTAGACAAACTATAGCATGTGTTCACGGTCAGAAGCACAAAAACTAAAATAAAAAAATTAAAAATAAAACTAAAGTTGCCAAGGAAAATTCAAAAATGTTACTCTTTCTGTCTTGTTATTGTTTGTTTACATTTATAATATCATGAGAATATGAACTATGGATAAACAAATGTACAGGACAAACATTCTTCGGTCAATAACTTTTTAATAAGCAATTTCAATGAATCATTGCAATTTTTTTACATTATTGCGTAATCTCACAAATTTTTATCTTAGATATTTTCCCCTCTTCCAGAATCCCTCTGTTAGTTACATTTTTTGCAAATAAAGTTAATTTATAAATCGACTAGCTGTTCCCGTGCGACTTTATCCGCATAAAATTATGAAAATTTTATTTTGTTGTTTACATGGGTCAAATTATCAACAACAAATGTCAAAATGACATGACATAATGACAAACCATGGCAACCTTGCTTCCTTGATGTTGGCAGCAACTTATGGTATCTTTCCCACATTAGGGTTTTTATCCAAAATATTTAGCCCCTAAGCTTAACGGCGTGAAAATATATAGCCTAAAGCGTGACGTAAGTGTAGGGCTTTTTATTAAAAAGAGAACTATTCAAAAATATGCTGTAATTGCTGACATCTTAGGCAACAAAGAAGTGTATGTTTACGCTTTATTATAATAGTATAGATAAAGCCATGCTTTTAATAGCTTTTTAATAGTGTCTACAACCTAATACCCTTGTTTATTTAGAGTCAAGTTAATGTTGATAACCTTTTGCTTGTTTGTTGCAATCTGCAATTGTCTTGCAATTTGCTTCAGTACACAAACAATCTTCTACTCAAGCAGTCATGTTGCTCAAACTAGCTATTATCGGAGCTCTCATATTTCTCTGTGTTAAAATGTTAAAACAACGCAGATGTTATTATTGTCATTAAAAAGGATATAAGGTGATTTTAATTTTTTTTATTGACCATTTTGTTATCAAAATTATTGTTCTTTTTTAAAAAAATCAGATTTTTTGTATTGCTTATACTTCATTTATTTTTTTAATAAAAGATATAATTAGTTTTTGCTACTGTATTTACCGGTAAATTTTTAAATTTCCCATTAATTTTAAAACCACTTACTAATCAATGCATTTTTTTGTTTTAAAAAATATTTTTCTTTGTCTCTACTGGACATGCATGGAGTCGTTTAATATTTTTATTCGATAATATATTTAAATTGTTTTTTTTTTGTCCAGGAGGCGCTCGCATTGATCAGTGAATATTCGGAGGCGGGTATAACGGTGCGCGGTACGTACGTGCCGACAGGCAAGCCGCCGCCCGACGGCGAGAGGAAGCTGTACCTCGCTATAGAGAGCTCGCAGGAACTCGCCGTTGCTAAAGCCAAGTCGGAGATAACGAGACTCATCAAGGAGGAACTACTCAAACTGCAGTCCTCCGCACACCATATGATCAATAAAGCGAGATATAAAGTTATATAGCCAACTAATAAATTGCGCCTCCGATAATTTGTTTCATTTTACCCAAAATGTGATTGGTTGCGGAAACATTATAACCCCTACTATTTACTAATTTGTTATATTTCTAGTATGTTAATGCTGGTATTATTAGGAACATGAATAAAAAAGCCTATTTTACTTGTAACGTTTTTTCCAAGAAGCTAAATCTAGTTTAACCCAGCCTAATTTAATAGCAAAATAAAAATATGTGTAATTCTGCTATTAAATTTATATAGGCGCAGGTTATTTTCAAATATTTGTATTCTAAGTGCATTTTTATTTTCTCCTTGTCTACTATTCTATTACTAACTATATAATTATTTATATTTATGTTATTAAGAAGAAAGTTTTGATTTTTTATGTATAAACGCAAAAACTGTTGGACCAATTACTAAAATTCTTTGCGATTAGAAACGATCATTATCACAGAGTAACATTTATTACAAAGATTTAATACAATATTTTATAACTGGCGCGGACGAAATCGCGAGCAAAACTACTTATGTTTAAATGTGACCTTTTTCAAGTAACATTGCTATCACTTCTCTGTCAGGCGCTTAATACATAATGTTAACTTAATTATTCAGACCGTATTCGATAGCTCTTTCTCTGTATTGCATACCCTATAAATAAATCATTAAGATAATGAGAAAATTACGACGTGACAATAACATTCCGAACGGAGAATTCCTATTGATAACGTCTGAGCACG